CTTCGCGAATATATCTGTTTCAAGAATATATAAATTATTCTATGCTTACAAGAGTATAGTATATTTGCAGGGCTCAGCTTACGGCTGAAAACCTTGCCTTAGATTTGTTGGTTGCATACAAGTTGAAAGGTTGAAAGCCAGGATCGAATCGAAACGCTTCAAGCTGAGATTTTCAACTAATTTTCTATCTTATATTGACACCCAAACCAAACCAGTTGCCCAAAAAGAAAACTAGCCGAACCATATATTTCTCTGAAAATAATTCACAGAACAATTTTATTCCTCTTTATTTCTAAACTATGTTTCTTAGTATATTATTGTTTTATGAAACTAATAAGAATAAATTTTGTATCCCTCTTAATTGTTTAATTTCTCGTTTATATGGGCACTGCTAGGCAGGCCACGAGTTTTCTCTCATTTAGTATTTATCATATTAATTTACATGCACGTGTAGCTTTGAAATCCATCAAAATCATTTAAAACACAAAACAATTGAAAATTCGTATAAATTCAATTTCGCTTTAGACAGTACATTGATCGAACAACCAAAACCAGTTTAGGCAAACAGAATATGGAGGAATATTCCCGTGAACCTTGTCCGTATCGTATTGTGGATGACTCTGGCGGCGCCTTTGCTATGGGCTCGATTGGCGGCGGCATCTTTCAGGCGCTTAAGGGCTTCAGAAATGCGCCACAGGGCCTGAGTCGCCGCCTTATGGGCAGCATGATGGCTGTGAAGGCGCGGTCGCCAGTGATAGCCGGCAACTTTGCTGCCTGGGGTGGCATGTTCAGTACAATTGACTGCACCCTGGTGCACTTTCGAAAGAAGGAGGACCCGTGGAACTCCATTATCAGTGGAGCTGCCACAGGTGGCATTCTGGCGGCACGTAATGGCCTGGCTTCAATGGCAGGCAGCGCCATCATTGGCGGCATCTTGCTCTCCTTGATTGAGGGCGTTGGCATACTTCTAACCCGCATCTCGGCCGAGCAATTCCGCAATCCAGCGCCACCCATTGATCCACAAGACGTCGGTGTTAACGCATTTGAATCGGATCCCGCAAAAGGATTTGGGTTTGGCACGCGAACAGCAAATGTTAATTCCTAAATTGAATTTGTTGACTTTTTTAACTTAGCCATCCATTATGACTCTGATACGTGGCTAAGTCTTAGCAAAATTTTTTTTTATGGTTCTGAGCCCATCTGGCTAAAGGAAAAATACATGATGAAGTACTCGTCAGATAAAATTGAAGGATTTTGAAGTCTAAATTAACGCGTTAGTTTTTCTGTTTACTGAATTGTAAAGTATGGTTGAACCGTACTGAGCCACACTTATCGTTAAAAATTATTTGGTGTTGGCATAGGCCTTTTCTGAACACTTAAGCCCTCAGCGTAAATAACTTGGGCCTAGGCTATTGGACATATTTTTCTATGTTTGGTGGATGATATTTTTGAGTAGAGATCAAATAAAAATATCTTTAAATGGTTTATTGGCTGCCTAACTTCAAAACTTTGGCTGGGGTATGGTTTATTATAATCCAGCCAATTCAGGAAATGTTCTATCCAATTTACCATGATAAAAATAACAGGAATCGTGTCATTTGCCTTGCCAAGTATCTTCTGGATTCCCTTTTATCAGTACCAAACAGCCCAGTCTGCTAATGTCTTTATCACGATGCCAATAAACTGTCAATAAGTTGAACTGGAAGCTCGTTAAGATACTCTGGCACTATGCAAAGGTCTAGCCAATTCAACAGGTAGCTACCCGCACACTTGACACGTGTCAGAAGCAACAGGCTGTATGTTTTATTGGCAAATGTTTACCTGTTGTTGTTGCCCTGCTTACCTGTCGCTCCGCAGGAGAGCCTCAAGGCTTGCGCCTGCGCCGGCGCATAGTCAAGTGCTGCTCAGTGGCCCGGTAGTGGTGGGTGTGCCGTGTCCTTTTACAACCTGTGCACTCGAGATGACCACAGTTGGGAGAGCGAGGCTAATAATGATCGCAGCCCTGCGGCTACTGTCCACGTGTTGGTTTCAGTCTCCGGCCCTGGTCAGTTTCCGTCTCAGGTACAGCGCGAGTCACAGTTTTCCCAGGGGCTGTGCAAAAAACCAATAGCAAGGATTTTCCTCACACATGGGTAACGGTGGGAAAAAGTCGCCTTTGCCCAACCCAGTTATAAAATCGGTCTTTATGATAATGTTGCCAATATTGAGAGACGTCGACGTCGACGTCGCCGCCAGCGTCAGCGTCAGCGTCGCGTCAGGAAATACCACATGGAAATTTTTTGAATAACCGGCAGACAGCTTGGTGCCCGCCGACTGTGGGAAGATCCGATAGCACGAACCAAACGTCCAGAACCCAACGAGCCCAACATATGCAACTGTGACTCGTGTGTTTTTTCACTTCGTTCTCATTTTCTATCCAAGCGCCGGTCTTCGCGTAATGTGTGAAATGTTTTCCTTGAGAAATCCCTTGGTCATGGTACACGCCTGGACCCGGCGCTACGGGAAAAGCACAAAGCAAATTTACCGTTGAAATTCACATTATCATGTGGCACAACAACAGCCAGAGATCGCACCTACGCTTGGTACGTGCTCTGACGAGTCCCTCAACGTGGGCTCTCATATGTGTCCACGTCCTCAGTCCTCCGTCCTCTGCCATGCGGCGTTGTGCTTGTTTTCCCAATTATCTCAGCATACGTTGCCAAAAAGGTAGAGGCGCTAAAATTTGTTTATTTTTCATTTGTTGGAAATTCAGACTTTTGCACGGCCATCGGCCATCGGCCATGGGAACCAGCCTGGGAAGTCGAAGGTAGAACGGAGGTGAAATTGCTTTCACCCAGTGACAGGGTTTTACACAAAGTCCCAAATTCATATTTACTGTTTGTACCATATATTGAGCATTTTGTAGTGAAATTTACATTTTACTTTGGCGATTTAATATTTTATTTATACACAATTTGTATATTGTTCCCGATTCAAATGGATGATGCTAAAATTGTAAATATATTTCGCGCCAACTTTAGGCTGAAGCTGCTTTGTAACTCCACTTAAAAGGTTTAGCCGAAGACTTATTAAAATTTCAATTTTTAGTTGATGAACATTAAAATATTTTTGAGGCAAATCTAAATATCAATATATAAAAATATAAGCTTATACCAACAAAAATGAAGTTGAGTAGAGGAATGGAAATGTATATTTCACTTCAAAATGGATAAGTTAGTGATAATACCGATAAAAATAGGTTGATCACTGAAGACTTAAAGTTTGATAAATAAATATTGATAAGTAAATAATAATATTTGGCAATGCACTAATGTTTTACACAAGGTACATAAGAATCGATTCAAACTGAGATTCGAAGATCAACTTATTAAGAAATAAGGACATATATGAGAACAGTTTGAGTTTGGATATATTGCTAGAAACAGAAAACATGTATATTCTGAAAACAGTGCTGAGCACCTAGTCTCACACCTCACACCTACGCCAACGCCTGGTGTGGCAGGCGGGCACGCAGGACGTCACTACGGGCACAGAGATCAGTACACATGGTGGGCATATGTTTGGCCAGCCAACAAAACACCTCGACGAAAACATCTAATGGAAGATGCTGGAACAGGGACTGGCAATGGGATTGGTAATGGGATTGGACGGGGTCTGTGGAATGGAAGTGATCATTTTGCATGCTGCGCCCGCATGGCGCTAAATGCTAGCCATTTGGTACTGGGCAAAGGCTGGAAATTGTTTTGGTTGTTTTTACTATCGATTGTATTGAGAGATTGCAGATAGTCTTAATGGCAAGAACTTGTGGCTGGGAGAGCCCGCAGCAAGCCTTGGCACATGTCAATGTCAAACATTGAACCGCATTCGAACCGAACGATGCGCATTAAAGGAATTTCGCCGACTTGCTGGCACCTTTCGATGTGCCTTGCATTAGAATTGTGTTTGCATTTATCCGCATTTCGTATGCTCGAGAGTCGGCGCCAAATATCTCATGCATATATGACACACATTTCGTATAGCTTCAGAGATCTGTGTTCTGAGATCTGGGTGATCTGCAGGCGGAATGCATTGATTACGCGAGTATTCGAGTATTGTATTTTGGCTTTTAGAATAACTTAGGTGCTTAGCGCATAAATTAACCGACTCCTCCCCAAACAGTCGGTCAGTGGAAGTTCAAGGTGTTCTCGCCTGATCCGATCTCTCTTATGCTATTCGCTATTGCGACTACTGTACACAGCGGCCCATCACGATGGGGTGGCCCTGAAATAGCGCCCGGTGCAATGCACTCCATCAACGACATCGCTAGGTTTGGTTTTCCCCAGGGAATTGGTGCGGTGGGTGATGCTGGTACTCGTATTGCAATAGTTTTGAGGCGCAATGACTTTTTCTGACAAAATACTCGTCCGCATGTCGATTTTCGATTTACATATCGCATCGATAATTGTTTCTCAATTTTCGGCTACCGCTTCATATGCATGCAATGTGCGATCCCAAAGCTAATTTGCGTTTTTGGCTGATGAAACCGATGAAATCAAATCGTCTCTCTCTTTCTTCTCACGCCACTCCGATATCGGACTGCAGCGTGTCGCGCTTGCTCGACCTTAGCCCAATATTAAGAACCATCATTTGCGGGCCAGTTCCATTGAACTCATCAATATAACATTATTTTTACTCGATATCAAGAGCATGTAAATATATATCTCGTAGTCGCCTCAGGTGTGATAAAATGAAAAGACAAATTTCTTGGAAATGCAGAGCTGTCTGCCCAGCTTCCTCAGACAATGAGAGTGAGTCTCTCTCAAGTTGGAGTAGGTTCAAAAATACGTAAGTAATGGAAAGTAAAATGAAAGTTAAACGTTTAGTTAACATTTGTTATCCTTTCACAAGATAAAATTGTTCTTTTACGTAATGGCAACAGCTGAATTGCTGTCGCCATGTCCTTCCGTCGGCTTCTACGTTAACTTTTAAGCAAAGACTTTTCTTATATACCATTTCAAGTAACTAAGTTACTAAATAGTAGGCTTCAAATATTCCTTATTTGAAAATACTGTTCAAAGGGGGAAACGTCTCTGGCGCGCAAACAGCAATTATTTTACATGCTTTCTAACAGGTGTAAGTTGTACTTGAGAGTGGAAAGAATATGTTCGGCAATTAGTTGTGTCTGATGTGTTCTATCGCCCAGTAGCTCCATTGAATTCAATTTGAAAGACATAGTTGAATAACCGATTTCAATCAAAGTTGAAAGTCGCAATTTATCTTGCCTGTTGCACTTTCCTAAATATATTTCATGAAGACAATCCGCTGATGCCTTCCCATTGCTCATCACGCAGACGTTGTCTCCAGTCACAATGGAGTCTACAATCTATAGTCGCGCCATGAACCTGATACTGTATACACACTGTCGACTGTCTGCCAGTGAGCGCAAATCCGTTACAAACTCGTGAACCGGCTGCCATGAGACGCAGCTCCTGCACCGGGAGAGTTGGAGAAAAGTTCGTGACATGGCATCAACAGTTTGTCATTAAACATTTCGACAATAATTTGTGCTTTGTGCTCGTATTTATATGCACACTTAAATGTATTTTTTATTCGCATTTTCTACGCTGACTTCCCGAATTGTAACCGTAGACAGTGGCTGGGTCCGAGCCAGAGCCGAGGAGTCAGTTGAAATTGTTATGGCAGGTAATTTACATAAAGATAAGTGGAATACGAAGAGCCCGAGCACTACTTACAATTCTGATTAGCCAGCGACCTGTCTATTGTAGTGCGAGCAATGGAAAAACTCGCCACGAAATGCGCCTTTTGTTATTGTAAATACACTCTCTGACTTTTGGGCTTTTGTCTGTCATAGTTTTTGTGGAGCTGGGAGCTGCAGCCCAGACTTCCTAAAGGTATTAAAAATATAAAAAAAATACAAATAAATAAAATAAAATAAGTGGTATACAAATTGAATATTTAGCTACTTGTTGCTGCGTCAATTGTCATGGAAATCAGTTTAGTTCAGGTTGCGTATACGACGTGTGTGCCCATAACATGTGTGAACTCTTGACAGCTCCCCCTTCCACTCATGCCCAGTTCGCACTACGGCTCTAGTCCAAGAGACAATGGAGGCGGCTGCTGATCTGTGGCCAGTGGCAGACAGCCAGGCAGGCTGGCAGTCGGGCCCTGACCCGCTTAGTTAGCGTTATCTGCATCGTTCAGAGTCTGCGCCAATAAAACAAATTAAAGTCAACAATTGACGGCAGTTAGGACCTGAAGCTACTCGCCTTGAATGCCGCCTGCCTCTTGCCAGCTACGCCAAGCTGAACCAACTCTCGGCTGATCGTCGTCTGTTCAATTGGGTCTCACTTTTGGGGGCCTCCGATATTCGTATTGCCATGCAATGGGTCGACTGTGCCTGTGCCAGCATCGTCTTATCAGCGACCCCATCGATTCGACTGTGGGGCGTTGGGTTGCGGGTAGTGGGGGCGTCGCATTTGGCAATAATATTTTTTGTTGCGGCAATTGTTTGGCTTGCGCTTGAAAATTCGCATTTGCATTCGCGTTTTGCTGCCTGACAGTGAATAATAATTTGCCATTTGAGTTCGTTTTGCATTCGTCCGTTTAATTCGCTTTAATGACTTTGAAAAGCGCAAATCAAAACGCTTCAAGCCCTTCAAGTCGCACACAAATTTCTGACGAAAATCTACAACAATAAAAATAACTAACAAGCAGCTGTGTTTTTCAACAAATTGCAGTGATTCAAGTACTTAAAGATAGTTAAAAGTCGGTAAAGTTGTTAGGGAAAACATTTTAGGATATGTCACAGATAAGTCTGATATGATTTATAATAGGGAAATTATTTACGATATATTATTATTTATTTTTTTTTGTAAATTATAAATAACAATATCAACAACTTAACTTTTGAGTAAAGTTAACAAATTAAACTAATATTAACAGCTATTACATGAAGTGAAAACAATTAAAGGCACTTGACAAATCTAAAGTGGTCACTCAATGCCGCCTACTGCAACTGATAGCGCGTAGTTGACTCAGCTGTCAATATTTATCAACAAACACACACACACACACACACACACACACACACACACACACACACACACACACACACACATGCACACATACACGCCGGCACGCGTCTCTTACGTCAGTTGTACGCATTCTTATCAAAAATGTATAAAGAAATTTCTATCGATCGACTTTAGTGTGTACCCACAAGAGCGGGTGGCACCTCCGTCAGCCTGCCGCAACCCTTCACCCCCGCTGCTCATATAACTGGGATGCGGGAGCGTGTGTATGTGTGCGAGGCATCTGGGATACGCAGGCATCCAGCTACACACGCTTTATGTTTGCCTGAAACTTTTGGCATTCTTATCATTTCCCAAGAGAGGCGTGTGAAAATCGATGCCAGTGGAAAAAGCAACAAACGTGACGTGGGCTTCAACGTCAGAGGAGCATGCCAATGCTGGAGCAGCACCAGGCGGGTGGCGGATGGCAGGAGGCGGGAGGCGGCGCAACAGTTGTGCTTAGAAAATTCTGATAAAGAGCAGGGCAACAATTTAAAAATGGTAGCCTTTGAGTGCAGAGCGCTGACAAAAGGGAGAGGGAGAGCAGCTGAAAAGCATCTAGGCGGAATTCCCGGAGCTGCTGCCTGCTCTGCTCTGCGCCTCTGTTTGCCTCTCAACGCGAACCGCAAGTTTGTCGCTCCGCTGTGTGCGTGAACTGTGGGCGTGCTGCTGCGCAGAGTGGGGAAGCTGCACCACAAAACACCACCCACAGCCGCTTGCTCTCTGCTGCTGAAATCTCTGCCCGGCTTAGTACGCGTGACGGTGCGCGGCGCTTTGGTTGCCTGTTCGCCTAAAATGCGTGTCGCTGTGATAATGTGTGACCAGAGCTCGTTGTGTGCGAGTGTGTGCTCGCGAGTGTGCGTGTATGTATGTGTTGTGCTGTGACTAACATCCCCAGCATTCAGCACACACACACACACACACACACACACTAGCGCAATGGCTGCTGCTATTGCCGCTGCGCGCCCAATACATTTGAGAAGTAAAATCTACGCCATGTCGCGCACTTGAGCCAATCTCTCTCAATGTGCGCACATTTCACATACACAGTGTATATACATTTATATCTCTCTATAGATATATTAAATCCCCAAAACTTGCTTTGAGGCAAAAACAACAAACTATGGAAAATGGGATTATCCAGAAGTAGCAGCAGCCGCGGCAAGAGGAGCAGAGGCGGCGGAGGATTGGCTCAAGTGAGCCCAACTCCGCAAAATCCACCACTCAATAGGACGAAGCACGAGTCACGCGAGTCCTGTGGCTGCTGCTCTCCCTCTCTCTCTATCTGTCGCTGACGGCGACGCCGCGTCGCACGCACACAACGAAAAATGTTGAATTTTGGCGCCTTCGTCAACCAGGCGAACAGCAAAAGCAGAACGCGAGACTACGTTTCAGCTGTTGCCATGACAGCAGCAGCAGCAGCACACCCCTTCTCTCTCTCTCTCTCTCTGGTTTTCTCTCGTACATTCTCTCTCTACCCTTATGTCATGTGCTCTCTGTGTGTATCCATTAACCGGCCTGCGTCCTTGCCATAACTTGCCACGTTTTTGGCTCAAGGACTTCGCAGCCGTTGCTCGTGCCAAATTTGTAACTGGCACAACTGGCGCATATCCTGACCTTGTTTCCCAGATTCTCCTGCTCGCTCTCTCCCTGTGCCAGGCATTTCTCTTTCTGTATCCTGTACGTTTTTGTTTTTGCTCAGTTGCAAATTTTTTTTGTTGTTGCCACGCTTTGGAATGTTGCCACCACATGTGTCACTTGCGGCTCATTTCTGTTCGCCTGTGCCACAGGATGCTTTTTGCGTTTGATTTCAGGGACAAATATAATGATTGATAGAAACGGTTGCTATGGCAAAAATGTGAACAGCATTCTGAGAGAAAGAGACAGAGGGAAAGAGAGAGAAAGAAATGTGAGAGTGTGTGGAATGCAACAGCTGAGCAGCATTCGTAGGATGAGGGGGGAGTGAAAGAGACAGAGGATTAAAAAATGAGGCTAAAAACTGGGAGCATGGCTCAAACAGCTGACTTATGAAAACAAGAAGGATTCGCTCTCGATACGGAATACGAAGGAAAAGAATTGCAGTTATCAAAGAAGCAAGAGGTACATGCATAGAGATTCAACATTTAATCCCAGGCTAGTTTATGGACTTAACATTATTTTATCTATTAAATAAAATTAATAAATTATTTAATGCAGTCTTCCAATGCGCCCAGAACTTAAGCTTTGCAATTTATTCCTTTGCTTGATTCATACAAATATCTTTCTATAAAAACCCAACAAAATAAGTATTGCGAGTTCAAAAATTAACTTAAGTCCCATTAACATTTGGACAACCGTTGAGTGCATCCATCCAAGCCTGAGCAAAAGCCGTGAAAAAATGCCAGATATTACGTGGAAAACAAACGAAAAAATCCATTACATAAAAATATAATGTTTGGCCATTAGGAAGCATGCCCCTGCCCAACGCTGCCCCGCTGCCCCTTTAACCGGATGGCTACCACGCTCATTGATGGCATTCCATTAAAAAATATGAAATTAGACTTTAAATTTGGCAAAGACAAAGGCAAAGGTCAAAGGTGCAGCCAGCCACTGGCCAAGCAGCCGGCCAGTTGGTGGAACAAGCGATCTCCCCCTTAGCCCCGCCTGGTTGCCACCAGCCTGGCCGCCTGCCTGCCTCGCTGCCTGGGTGCCACAAGCAGCCGCCAACATGTGGCCAACAAAAACGGGCTTTTGCTTTTGCTGTTGTTGTTGGGTGGGTGGGCGCATTGGTCCACTCCTCGCTCCAGACGATTGCTGCACGTTTTGCTCATTTTACTAACGTGATAATAAAGTGCAAATAATATGCCTCAGTTGCAGTTGCAGTTGCAGCCAAAGACAATTGTTGCACCAACTTGGCCGCTGATCAGCGCGCTGCGATAGCTACACGGCTGTTGCAAGCTTTCCGCAATCGATGCAACCGAACAGCAACAAAAGCAGGGAATTATCGCTGATGGAAATGCACCTGACGCTTGATTTGTTGCTGTTGTTGCAGTTGTTGCAATTGTTGCCGCTGTTGCTGGCATTTGCACGACTTTTCGGACCACTCTGCAACTGTAGCTGGGGCGTTGGTTCGCCGTTCTAACGCACTTGGCCCCAACTCACACACACACACACACACACACACTTGTACACAATTCCATTTGGGGCCAGGCCAACTCTCTGTGGCCGCTGGCATTTGAGCGATCCGCGCGGCAAACACAATTCGCAGCCTCGTTATGTGCCAATTACTTGGCAAACAATTTTTACCTTTAGCCCCAAGTTCAAATTTTAAAATCAAAAGCAGCAGCGAGGCAAGTGGAGGCGGCGGCAGCAAACCTGGTCCGGGTAATTGGTCTGCCTGGGCAGGTTTTCCCATGGGTAACCTGTTGCGACCGACTTCCACTTGAGCCCCAGAGCCTCAACAACGGTAATCACTCACTCAAACAGCAGATGCTCTATCTCACTCCCTCCCTCTATCATTCTCTCTCTCTCTCTATTT